ACTTTGGGTGCCATAATTAAACTACTTCAGCAATGTTTCAGCATTCATTTATATCTTAGTTACTTCATAAGTCAACATCAAGTCAGTTGTTCTTGTGCATCACCTGCTACTTCAGCGTAATCGCAACAACTAATCCTGAAACTGTGCGAAGTTTTTTTTGGTCTTCTGGTATCCATCAATCATTTCGTTGACGTCAATTGGTAGATTCAAACACATCTAGATCAGTCTCAATTGATGACGAGCAAGTTGATGTCTCAGCCCCTTTCTGGTCCATCTCAAGTATCTAACCATTCAGAACCTAGTTAACAAATCCTATCAGATATAATTAAGTTAACGTTCACCAGAAGATTTAGCCATAACAGCACTCAAAACGACTGCCTAAGTATTCGTTGCATCTGAAAAGTAAAACATAAAGGATCACCAGTAACAACTGCGAATTTTCCAGTGAGCAGTCTTGCCATTTTGCGAAGTTATTGACGATTACGTCTGCAATTGAATAGATTTAATGGGCAATAACTGAATGTCGAATATCATTTTCTTGCAAATGCCATACGAAATTCATTACGGCATAAAATCGTTGGTCCTACAAGGCTGAGGGAGCGTTTGAAAGCAGTAAGGTTATGAAACTAGAAGGTCATCATAATGGCAGATGTGAGCAGAAATGATCCGAGATGACCGTAGAGCTATTTATGTCTAACAGTTCCATTCTGAGGTGGAGAGTAATCGGAATGCTCAGTGAATCGGTCGAGCCAGAACCAAATGGAATGGAAATAAGTTTGCACTAAGGCAATACATTCGCAGATGAGTGAGAAAGACGAACATCAGCCTCAGTGAGTGAATAAATTGTGAAGGAAGTGGTTGCTTATAAACGATCTGTTGATATTAGTTGTAAGCAGTTGGATCGTTTTTCGAACTTGATTTATCTTTCGATTCTAATGGATATTTTCGACTTAGTCTGTTTTGCTGATAGACCACTAAGCAGTCGAGACCAAAAGCACAACAAAAACATCGTTCCTTCAATCATCATCAGTTTGATTCTGTCTGCGAACGTGACTCTGAGATACCGACAGCGATAATGTTGCTAAAAGTTAAGCATTTTTTT